CTTCTCTGAATTCTTTTTGCTTAGCCCTGGGCTGGGCAATTTCAAGGTCTGGGCCAGGACAAATAATCAGAAGGTGTATACATTTCAGAGTGACTCAAAATTGTGCCGTCAGTTCTCACAGAGCTTCCAGCAACTGTGCGCAACAGGTGAAAAGCCACCTAGGGAAGTCCAGGGAGAGGCCCCAGAAGAGGCCTTATCTGTTCCAGAAACACTGACCCTGCCTCTACCCCATCTTTCAGTTCTGCCACCATTCACCCTAACCCACCAATGGCAGGCCCTGGACCCCAGGGCGCCCCAACCAATCCAGATACCAGGAACTATAAAAATCAAGCCTAGGACTAAGGGAAGACAGAGTGAGGAATAGAAGAAGACAGACAGAAAAGCCATAGTTTAACCCATCTGCGGCATGACTAGAATTAGATGAGAAAAAAAGGGAGAGGGTAGGTTGCTCTGAAGAAACGTGCAGTCTACAGCAGCAGCAGGCCTGTGTTAACAGGTCTGCACTCTATAAAGAATTTTCCATGAAGACATGCTCATCTTGCCAGCCATCAGACCACATCACCCGCTGCTCAGTATCCTCACGGCATTTCCAGAGCATCTCTCTGCAGGCCACGTAGCAGCCATGTGGAAAGGCCATCTTCAACCCTGCCTCAGAGAGCTGGCTGTCTAGCTGGCCAGGCCATTTATATGTGAAAGCACCAGGGCATTTTGACACAAATAGGCCAAGAAGAGAGTTAAAACAAACATGAGGGTCCATCCAAAGGGTCTCCTAAAAATTACACCTATGTTCGAAGCAGGAGAACAAAGAAGTACGTACCAGGGTCTTATGTCCTAATGTTAAACAGATGGCAGAGAAGCAGAACCACTCAGCTCCCCTCTGCCTCAGCCTTTGCCTTCTCAGATATCTGTCTTAGAGTGGAGAGGGCAGAGCACAATTGTCAGGGATGAGAAGAACATACGAGAACATTTTTTAGCAGGAATTACACCACTGACCAGAGAAAAATGTGACTGGGGTGTCACATGGACTCCATAGAATCTCGGGGAACAGAAAAGATGTCAGGAGACTAGCTATCTCCTTTTTCATATAAATCAAATGGGTGGATTCTGGAAACTCCAACCTGAACTCCTGCAGACTTCTCAAAAGCAGAATGTTTGGCACATGCGGAGAGGAACTGGTGGGCACTAGAAGCCAGCACAGGTTCACCAAGACCAAGTCATGCTCAGTTAAGTGCATCTCCCTCTCCCAAGAGGTTGCAAAGCCTTGAAGTTGGATGGAATGCAATAAATCTAGATGTAGCGAGGCAGCTGAACACATGGGTTTAAAGATATCCATGTGGACAAGAAAGAAATGTAGGGTAGAGCTGGGATTAATTTGGGTCCATTTAAAGGCAGATAAACAACCACAAGAAGTATTGATCATTATCAACCTAGCCTGAGATCTCTACTACCATCATGCCAAAGCCTGGCTCGGTCAATATGTTAATCAAGAACACACTAAGGACAGGGATGGCTGACCAGTCTAATCTGCAAACGCTGGGATGGGAAGATGGCTAACACACTGCAATGGCAGTTTGGGACTCAAAATCATCTGTACTGGAAAACTGGGCCCAAACTAACAAGATACGACTGTCTTAAAGTTTTCATGTCTTACACTTTGGGTTAAAAAAGACCAGTACAAGATCGAAGGGAGAATTTCTTGGGTTTCAGCTAAACATAAACCAACAAACACTAGGGTGGCTGCCAGAATTAAAGTAAACACAATCTCAGGCTGTGTCAATACCTTACCTATTCAGGGCTGGGGGTGTAACAAGCCCATTGTTCTCTCAGGGTCAGGCTGCACTAGGGGAACTCTGTTCCATTCTGGGTGACTTCATGCAATATGTTAACAAACGGGCCAAGGTCCAAGGCAAAACAGGGGTGGCTTTTTGGGATAACGAGCTACCTTGGAATGGACTGCCCTTGGCAGTACTCCATTTCTAATAATGAAAAATGTTTAGACCAAGGGTGACCAGCATACATCAGAGATGTCGAAGGTGTGGCTGGAATTGGGCTTCTCACCTGGGGGTGGTGGCACTCTCTGGAAGTGTTTAGAAATGCTGCCTAGTGGGGGCAGGGGGAGGCACTGTGTGTGCCAGGTACTGTTCAGGCACCAGGGATAGAGCAGTAAAGGAGCAAGAAATCCCTGTCCTCCCACACATTTATTCTAGTGGCTAGTGGGGGTGCTGCTGGCATTGAGTGGGCGAGGACCAGAGAGGCTAAATACTCTGTAATTCACAGGAGAGTCCCATCCACTATGCCGATACGGCTCCCACTGAGAAACACTGGCTTGACAAAGGTGATCTGTGGACTTGAGAATCATTTAGTAAAGTGCTAAGGAGACATCAAACATAAGAACTAGCAAAAAAGTAACCGAAGAGAGTTGGGAGCTTTGAGGTAGAAAAGCTGGGTTTCCTGCCCTTCACCCTGTGGCAGGGTGCCCTCTGCGGCACAGCCCACGGCCTCAGCCTCGGGTTATCAGGAAGCCACAGCCCCGTGTGCTATCCCCATAACCTCTATTATCTCTCATGGTCACCCAGAAAGGGGCAGGCAAAGGGGGCATTCTGAAGGGCCCCACGCCCCCAGGGCTAGAAGCACCACTAACCCTTAGAACAATCCAGTGGCAGTACTGGTTAGGCTGAGAGGTTAAGTGGTAGAACTGGGAGAGGTTCTAGACTGTTTGGTTACAAGTTGGCACAGTTTCCCACTCCCCTCCCTCCACTGTTCTACCTGCCCCGGGTGCCCCATCACTCTTGCCTCCTCTTTGCCCACAGGTCCCAAGCAGTTGGCCTGGGAAACAGCTTGGCTCCATCCCAACGCTGGAGAGAGAAGTAGGATTTTAGTGCTGCTGTATGTTAGACGCCCCTCACTGGGCTTATATATATTTTACCTAACAGGTTCTTCCTGTGATTCTGCCAGGCATCCCTTGATAGGTAAGGAAAGCCAGGCTCGAGGAGCAGAGGTTGAAGCGTAAACTTAGGGTGTCCGCTCCCTGTTCTCACCACCTGGAGCTGTGGCTCTGGTTGGGATGCCACACTGATCGTGATCAGGGTCACGAAGTCTGAGGGAGAGGTATCCCAGCAGAGGGGCTGGCCCAGGCTGAGGTTATTCCTGGGTTAGGGGAGGGGTGTGGCGGAGCCAGGCCAACACCCTGCTAGACATGGTGTCTTGTCCCCAGGGTTAGGGAAACAGCTTTCGCAGGAGGAGGCGGCCCCTGTTCACTCGCAGGATTCTTTAACTTGGCTCCCGAATTCACACAAGACAATATTTTCATTTTCCACATAACCCTGGAGAGTGACAAGAGTGAGACTGTGCACACAACCCAGGCCCAGATCTTGTTTGGGGATGGAATGGAGCTTCCCGCTGCCTGTCATCCTGATAATAAAGCAGCTGTGATTTATTGAGTGCTTACTACATACACCAAGTGTAATGCTAAGCATTTCTCAAGCCTTTAGCTCATTTAATGAGGGCAGAATCCTGTTGGGAAGAGACCATAATTTTTTTCCATTTTACTAATGAAGATTTAAGGCTTAGAGAGGTTAAGTAAGTAGCCTAAGGTCAAGATGCTAAAAGTGATGAAGCCAGGAGGAGTATCCTGGCCTGTCTGGGTCCAAGCTGGTCCAAGCCACTGTTATCCTACCCTACTTCCCACAAAGGCCACAGGAAGGAGGCCAGTGCATAATTCCACCCCTTCGCGCCAGCTGAAAAAACAGTGCCCTAAAACCAGTCAATCCACTCTGATCAGAACTCAGCATTTCCAGCCAGGCCTCCAGGAGGAGAGATCCATGTCCTTGCCTTTGGCTTCAGGCAACCAGCTACCCTGACCCCACCCTCTTGATCTCACTGTCCATGGA